GAATAAGCTCCAATAACTTGTTCTTCCTCCTGCCCAGCTATGCCAAGTCAGACTCTTTAGAGTTACAAAACTCAATGAATGGCATTTTTGTTTTATTCTAGCTTCCCTCTGCTCCAAACTAGTTTCCTACTTACTCCTACTGAGTAAGAAGTGGCTCTGGAGAGAGGCTATCTTCTTGGAGACATTGTTGACTCCCATAAGAAACTCAAGCTGGGCTCTTCTGCCACCATCCCAAGAAGGCTTAAGCAGGAGCTGTTCTTCAGGGAAGCAAGAGGTCTTCTCTCCAAAAGCCTCAAGGTAGCTCACCAACTCTCACTGAAAGCCCAGATATAGAAAAGAAGTAGAAAGGAAAAGTTTTTAACCCAGCCTGGGTGAGAAGAGATGTCCAAAGAAGATTTCAAGAAGAAGATGAGTCCTGAAATATGGCTAGCAATTAGTCAGGCAAATAGTGGGTGGCAGAATAGCATGCTTAAAGGCTTGGAAACAGAAAAAAAGACAAATTCAGAGAAGTACATGTGTTCAGGTATAGCTGAATCCTGTGTGCACACGCACACATATGAGGTTATGAGGTTGGAGGCTGGGAAGGAAAGCAGGAGTCATACAATTGAGGATTCTCCTGAGTCTCTGGGCTAGAGAGTTTGAACTTCATACTGAAAGCAATTAAGAGGTCCTGAAGTTTTTTAAAGCATCTATTACTTAATTTCCATTTTAGAAAGATCCTTGACTACTAGGTGGATAGTTGATTGCAGAGGTGGGGAAGAAGTGGAATTAGAAAGACCAATTTGAGGTGCCCATGAGATTTCCACATGGACAAAAGATAATAGTTGAATCATTTGAACTAAAGTTTAAACAATGGAGATGGAAAAAAGTTATTTTGACTGTAGATCTGATAGGACTTCAGAATTGACTATATATCAAGAAAAGGTGATGAATCGAGGATGACTGTCTTGGGTTGCTGGATGAGTGATGGTCTCACTGAAATAGGAAACGCTATGTGTGGAATAGTTTTGGGGGTGGAGAGAGAAGAGGGCAAATGTTTCAGGTTTGCAAATGTTGAGTTTGAGGTGCCATTAAAACATTCAGAGAGGTCACTCCAAATGCAGTTGAATGTGCAAATCTGGAGTTCAAGAGAGAGATCTGTGCCAGAGGTATGGATTCAGGAGTTATTGCCATAGAGACAGAGTGGATGAGATCATCCATGGATAACGTGAAGAATAAGAAGTCTAGAAGTCTAGATGAAATCCTGGGCGGAATAGTCAGATTTATAGAGTGGGCAGAAGAAGAAGAAGAACTTACAAAGGACACCTAGGAGAATCATTTTGAGGGGCAGGGAAGACACCGGTAGTGGTGTTACAGAAAACAAAGAAGACAGTTTTGTGAAGGAGAGGGACAAGGTGAGATGACACAGATATGGCCATCGGATTTTGGGACAAGGAAATTGTTGGTAATCTTAGAATATTTTCAGTGGAGGGCTAATGGCAGAAGCAAGACTGCAGAGGGTTGAACAGTGAGTGAGTGGGAGGGGGAAGAAAGTAGAGACATCAATATTAAATGGCTTGTTTAAGAATCTTGGCTTCAAAGAGAATGTTGCCAATAGGGAGGAGGGTGGCTCAAAAAGAGTGATAAGAATTTGAAGTAGTCACCTGGAGATGCTCACCAGGGAGAAGTATAAGGACTTCCAAGTAGCCCTGAAGGCCCCACTGATATGCACAGTCAGGATCAGGATAGGTAGAATTATGCCCCAGTTAGCAATAAGAAAAGCAATGCCTGGAAGGGACTTGCACAGCGTCACTAGTAAGTGACAGAGCTGAAATTCAAACTAAATTTCCCTCCCCACCTTCTACCAAATGTTTATGGGCCCCTGCTCTGCACTTCTTTTCATCAACATTTGCATTGTCATATCCATCATTGATGAATACTAACGACTATCGACCATGTGCCTGCCCAATGCTGCAGTCACAACAGAAGTTTAATATAAGGTTTCTTCCCTCAAATTGTTTAGAATTAGGTTAAAAAGACCAAAAACTCTGTCTGTTTCTCTCTTTTCCTCTCTCTCTCTCTCTGTCTCCCTCTCTGTCTCTGTCTCTGTCACTGTCTCTCTCTGTCTCTGTCTCTCTGTCTGTCTGTCTGTCTGTCTGTCTGTCTGTCTGTCTCTCTGTCTCTGTCTCTATCTCTGTCTCTGTCTCTGTCTCTCTCTATCTCTCTCTCCCCCCCACCACCCTTCTTCTTCCTCTGATACCTTCTCTCAATTTTCTTTCCTAACATTGAGCAGGTCTGGTCCCTTACAGTGAAGTATCATTGACTCATTAAAAAAGTCCATATCTTATAATCCCTCAAACTTCTTTACCACTTTTATTTTTTCATTAAGAAGACATTTTTGAACATTAGCTCTGGGTAACGTTTTGTGTAAGGCACTTGAGAGACAGAAATTAATAAAATACAGTTCTTGGCTTCAAGTAGCTCACAGACTAGTGGCGAAGAATAAGAATTTAAACAGGAAATTTAAACAATTTCATCATCTGTACAATAAAGATTTCAGTACCACAAAGTGTTGCTGTGATAATAAATATGTTAACGTGTGAACTGCTTATAATAGTCACATAAGAAACACTACATAAGTATTACTCTTCTTCTTATTACTAGTATGATAAGTAAACACAAAATACTGTAAGAACATAAAGGAAGGGCACTTGATCCAGGCTAAAGTAAGAGATATCTGAGCTCGGTCCTAACGGATGAGAAGGCACTAAACAGAGGGAGAAGAATGCCAGGCATTCTGCATAGAAGGTACAGCCTGTACTCAGGTTTGTAAGCAAAAGACAACATGATCTGATTGAGGAACTGAAAGTAATTTAGTTCAGCAAGAGCACAGAGCATGAGGAGGGCAATGGCAAGAGATGAAACTTGAGGGGTCATAGAGTACAAGCAAGTCTGGACTTTATCCTTCAGCTGGTGGGGAGCCATTGGAATGTTTTATGTAGAGTAGCGACTTGATCAGATTAAAGTGTTGAAAGATCACCTTAGCAACAGTATGGAGAATGAATTGGAGGAGGCAAGATTGGAAGTAAGACCATTTGGGAACTCACTGCTATAGTCCAGAGGAGAGAGGATGATGAAGCCCTGAACTGGGGACATAGCAGTGGGGATGGAGAGAAGGGTACCATGGATTTGACGCAGAGTCGAGCGCTAGAATTTGTGAGACAGTGACTATAGAAGGTGAGGGATAAACGTGAGAGAGGTGTCAAGATTAACTCCCAGGTATTTAGTCTAGTGCAAGAGGATGGTTAGAGATATCATTCAGTGACTTTAGGGAACCCAGGGAAGAACTGTTTGGGGAAGAGTGTGATAGGAGAGATGATGAGTTCTCTTTTCAACACATCAAATTTGAGGTACCGGGAGTGGCTCCACAGTGTAGTGGTTAGCACGTCTGCTTTACACATAGAAGGTCCTGGGTTTGCGCCCCAGGTGGAGCCACAGACCAGGCCCCAGGTGTGCCAGGCCCCGGATGCACGCCACAAGCATGTGGAAGGACATGCCCCACCTTCAAAGATCCAGTTCTTAAGGGGAAAAGGGCAACATCCATAGGTCAGGGGTGGAAGTGGGGTGGAGGGATAAAGAGGGGAAAATAATTTGAGGTGCCTATGATATTTCCAAGTGAGTATTTTAAATAAGTAATTGTGCTGGTAGTCTTGAAGCTCAGGAGGAAGGTCTATGCTAGAAATATAAATTTGGGAATGCCAGTAAATAGGTGTGAGATTAAGTCATTGGTGTGGATAAGTATGTTCAGAAAGCGTGT